AATAAAGATGCAGATGAAGAGATGGCACCAGACAAGAGCCCTGCAGTGCCAAACCAAGGGCCTGCAGAGCCAGTGGAACCTGATGTGCCTGGTTCTTCTGCTGCATCCTCTTCAAAAGCACCACCACCAGTCAGGGCTGCCAGGAGAGTCACCTGAAGAGTTGTTGAGTGCACTCTCCCCACCAGGGTGCAAATTTGGTGTATCTTTCCAAGATCACCGCTTCACTTCTGGTTGGAGGCAGGAGCACAAGGAGCTGCCATCACCTTATGACAAAAAAACCTTCAGTAGAACATTTGTGGAGAGGAGGACCTGGCAAGAGGCATTGGCCCTGGTCCACCAGCACAACTGGGAAAAGTGGGAAAAGCTACAAGACACATACCCAGTGGGAGGGCAAAGAGTCCAGGTTCCTGGTGAGCTGCCTGATGACATAGTTGAGCAACTTGAGGACACCATCAAGAGCCTTCCAAAAGTGGTAAGATACGCATGACATTGTATATTAGAATTCAATGCCCATTTGAAAAGGCACATGTGAAATTGCAGGAGGGATGCATTTGAAGCCTGCCCATTTGAAAAGGCACATTTGAAAGTGCAGGAGGTGTAGTTTGAAGCCTGTCCATTTGAAAAGGCACATTTGAAATTGCAGGAGGGGTAGTTTGAAGCCTGCTTACTTGCCAAATGGCAGTAAGAGAAGCCAAACTCATGAGAAAAGGCGTTTTGACTAGTTTGGTGCCTGCAAAGGTGGAGAGGCTCTTGGGGTGGCAGTGTGCATGGGCCTTATCTGTGGCCTGCTGCTTGGAAGGGTTGCTGGGGAGAGCCTTGTGCAGTTGCATGCTGCATGCTGCTTTGGCAAGTAAAGTTTCCTGCTGTGCAAGGGGAATGGGTATGGGGTGGGGTGTGGGGTGTGTAAGACTGCTGGATTGAAAGTACAGCTGTAGCACCAAGGGCCAACATGTTATTTGCAATGGTTGCTGCTGTGAAAGCACCACTGCACTAGCACCAAGAAGCTGCTGCTGTGAAAGCGCCACTGTACTAGCACAAACCAATTCATGTGCAAGGGCTGCTGCTGTTAAAACACCTCTGCCCCACCAACTGTGAAAACCTAACAGTTCTTTCAAAGGCAAGGCCTGGAAAGCCACATGGCTCTATATTTGGCCTGAGAAATGGTGGGCAATATCAGATGTTTTCAATTGATATTTGTTTTTATTATTAGCAGGTATTTCAACCTGCCATACACTACTGCCCCACCCACTGTGAAAACCAAGTGCTGCTCACAGTTCTGTCAAAGGCAAGGCCTGGAAAGCCACATGGCTCTATATTTGGCCTGAGAAATGGTGGGCAATATCAGATGTTTTCAATTATATTTGTTTTTATTATTAGCAGGTATTTCAACTTGCCATACACTACTGCCTCACCCACTGTGAAAACCAAGTGCTGCTCACAGTTGAGCACCCACCTGTGAAAGGCAAGGCTTGGACCACTTGGAATCCACCTCTCAGTTGGGGATGGTGCTGATGAGAATTATAACTATCAGATGATGTCAGTTGACTGTTTTACTTATTTGACACTGGCATTTGTTTTCTGAGAGCATTGTTGCCCTGCAGGTGGATTTCAGGGACCAGATCCACAGACAGAACTTGGAGTGAGAATGGCTGTGGAAAAAATGAAAGCTGTGCTTTCCAGGGTGGGTGGGTGAAGCAGAGGGTTCTGGAACACAAGGTCTTCCAAACAGATTTGCTGACAGGAATCTCTCAGGATTTCTAAGTGTTTTCCAGATTTTCACAGGAACATTTAGATCTGAGTTTTTCTGTGCTCAATTGAAGCGGTGCTGCACTGAAGCGACCTCCAATGTTGTGCAATGATAGAAGTCTCAACCAATTCGTTTTTTTCCATGCCCGGGAAAAAGCAAATTGGAAGTCGGAACCAATTTGAATTTTTCCAGGCCCGGGAAAAAACAAAAAACAGTTCCGGGATCAAGCCTCGTGGTTCGAGCGGCATAGTCTCACAAGGCAGGGTGGTATGATACCCACTGCTCGTAGGAGGAGTGGATTTCAGGACCTGGGGCTTCACAGCTAGGGTATTATACCACTAGACTACTAGACCAAGCTGGCTTGTGAAAAAAATGTACAGGTATGCAATGTGTGCACTTGACAGCTGAGGTGGTTTTGAACCTTTCAGCATCAAAACAAAAAACCATAAACCAGCACAAAGTGAGCAAACTGGCTTGAGCAGTCTCTTGATCATGGAGGGTTGCTCCCAACCAAAACGACCCCAAAATGAAAGTGGTTTGGTTGGTTGTTGGTTGGCTTCCTGATCCTCGGCGGCCAACGTGTCAGTGATCAGAGGACGCAAGACCCGCTAGAGCAACAGCATGGTTTCTTGAAAGTCTCTAGTCCCAGCGAAAAACAATTTTTGCCGACAGTGGTAAAACCCCACGTGCGAAAACTTGCGAAAACTTCGCGAAGGTCCTGCGAAAGGCCTGGAAAAATACCCTGCTACTCACTTGACTCTTGGGAAGACTAGCTTTGGTTCACAGGTGGCTCTTTCACCTTCCATTGTGTCTTACAACCTTTGGACAACCGAGACGGGCGGGAGCCGACACCGCTTCACGGAGCAGCACCGTTTTTTGGACGCGGCCAAGGACCCGCGGGCGGACCGCGCGTGTTGCGAGCTGGGCATGGCATGGCGTGGGTGGAGGAATGGACGTCTTAGGGGCTTGAATTTTCTGTTGTTTTTTGTTGTCTCTCCAAGAGTTTTTACGTTTTAAGGCCCTGATGCTTAGGGCCTAGGGAGTCCCGAGCGCCAACAAGGAAGGGGTGCAAGCCTCATTGCAAAACCTGTTGCTCTTTTGGACCGGGCAATGGTGAATTTGTTTCAACATGAGAGGTGGAATGGGTAGGAGTTAGTTAACGAAGAAAGAACACAAATCAGATCATGGCACCAGTCAGATCTTGAAGTGGTGTGCCTGACAAGTACATGACAACAGTACTGCGCTGAGGTCAGGATGTTCTGGAGGATTGTTTACTCAGGAGTGTGGTGTTGCGATATTTAGGGTGTGGCGTGTGTTCACATCTATTGGCCAAAAGCACATGAAGACTTGCTTTCAATACACAATGCACAAATTCGGAACTCCCGTCGGCACAGATGGATGATCAAGGAAGTGTTCACCGTTCACCCTTTTGAAGAATTATTACTTATAAGTGGGGTCTGTCCTATTACCTGTAACAGTCAGTAAACAAGTATCACTAATTTTGGACAAGGCCTGCAACTGAACCATCATCATCCACTCGGATAGACCCAACTTCTAAGGCCTTTGGATGCTTTTGGCTTTGAGAAAATTCATCGTTTGAGGCGGGCGACTTCGAGCGAGTGCGACTGATGCTTGAAGAGAGGCCGGAGCTTGTGATGCTTGTCCAACAGGCGACCGTTGGACATAGTGGTGAGCCACCCAGTTTTGAGAGGAAACCAATCAAAGCCTTGCAAGGGAATAATTTCCATGTGGAGAGGTTGAGACTTCAAAGTTGATTTGTCGTTGATGCAGATGGTTTCGTTTGACAGGCCTGTTTTAAAACACGTTGCCAAGACCCGATGATCTTAAAACTCACCCCGTGCATTCTTCAGAATGCAGGTTGGGAAGGGGTGAAACTGGACACTCTAAACCAGATTGGGTGAACATCACCCCCTAGACGAAACTGATGCAGTTGTCTAAGATGATACCGCATTGCGATCAAAAAATGCTGGTTTTCAGGTGCATAATTCATCATAATTCTTCCGTTGCTCGATCTCAGGAATTGTCAACCCTGTCAGCGATGGTCAGCTTTGCATTATGCAGCGCATAAGGCGTGTACATGATCATCCAATTGCTTCATATCTCCGAGGGCCTGGTTACTTGATGTTAGCTGCTTCATGTTGCTTCTCAAGGGGCGGTGATGACGAGCGATCCAACCTCGTCTTAATAATCTGGTCCGGCCAGCCGTTGCGCATAAAGGACACCTGGGCGCACTTTGGCACAAGTTCTTTTTGCGCACTTTGAACCCCAAAAGATCCACTATGTGTGCATTGCTGTGGCACATTTTCCACTGAACAAACCTCCGTTTCGGATTGATTTCCTGCATCTATGAACTCATGTTCTTTCATCTCCCCAACAGGGAGCACTTGACACATCGTGCCAGGGCAATCTGGTGGCCGTACAGTTCCTACTGGAGAAACTTGCCGAATGCTTGGCCAGTGAAAATCTTGGACCGCCGGATAAACTTGTTTATATACCCTTCCGGTGGGACTGGGCCTATAGGAGGCTCCCTGCCGTAGGTAGTATATATATACAAATTATATGTGTATATATATATAGCAATCCTGAAGTACATAGAATACGGAATTGGAGGTCCACACCCTACATGGGCATCTTCCGGAATTGAAACCGAAACGGGACTTGGAATATTTTGCATCTTCCGGAATTGGACTCCAAACGTATACTTGGAATACAAAAACATCTTCCGGAATTTAACAACATAATGTACTTGGAATCTCGTGGATTGTGAACACTTGACATCTTCAGGACCTTTGTATCAGTAACCTCTTGTTGCAGCCATTCTTGCTGCACAAACGCCTAAGGGGTTAGAACTGGGGTTGGAACATCGGGCCAAACAGATGCAAGCGTTCCAGATTTGCATCGACTGCCAGAAGCGGACAGTGACGGATACCGAAGGGTAACTAGTTCTGATGTGTATAGTATAATTAAGCACTCAAGGGTGCCAACCGCTGCAGTGGTGGCCAAGGAAAATGATGCTTGCTCTTGGTTTCCTAAGAGCATCTTCAGAATTGAAAACATGTGTGACATATTCTAAGTACATGGCCGACGGTTGGACACAGAGAAGCATCTTCAGAATTGAAATATTCTATGTACCGTTTGGGTCGGTATATTCTATGTATTTTTATTTGTTTTTTGGCCGCGGAATTGGAACCTACCAAAATTCTAAGTATTCCAGGATCGTTATATATATAGCGTTGTTATTTTTTCTTGTTGTTTTTGCTTTGTGTTTGTTATTCCTTTTGCAGGGGTTTCCGTTGCCATTTTGGTTCAAGAATTTTGTAGCTTCCGCATCCCTTGAGTAGATCCCATTTCTCGGGTGCCGTGCAGAGCCATGCTTCCCTTGCTGGTGAATCTGCTCGCCGTGGCCTTTGCATTGGAGTCTTGCCCAAGCGGGGCAGATGTCACGAGCTTGCTGAATCATCAGTCACGTCGTGTGGCAAATCGCCATTCACATCCCTTGTGGATGAGTGAAGTCTTCACGGCCTTCACCTTGAGGGATCTCGCGTGCCAAGGAAAGCCTTCTCAAGGCTAAAAACCCGTGAGTGTTGGGCATCGGCCTTTGATCGTTTCGACCGGAACAGTGATGGTATCATTTCTGCGGAGGATGTGCGGGTTCTTGAGAGTGAGACCACCAAGAAGAACCTAACCTGTCCAGATCTTCGGGCTGGCATAGCAATCGCATGCCACTGGTACCCTGAAGAATGCATGCAACTCATTGTCCATGAGCCTTTGATCACCCCGCTGGTCTTCGATGATGCTGACATCGGCGAATTGCCACCGCCAGCTCCTGCGAGCCCAGTGAACGGCACCTCGCTGATGTTGATCGAAACAGAGAATCCTGCGCTTGTTGGGGCCAGTGTCCAGGTCGCCGTGGGCTGTATGGGGCTGGCCTTCGGAATGCTTGGCATTGAAACACCCAGTGGAGCCCTTGTGGCTGACCTGGTCCAGACCAACTCCAGAGCGGTGTCTTTGATCCTTGACATAGTGAGGAAGATGGATAACTTTGATGATATGACCAAAATGGCCTTAGACGTCAATGATATCTTGGAGGTCCTCTACGACGAGGGCATTTTGTCTGCAGCTCTGCAGCTCAATCCTTAAAAAGACAAGAGCTGGTCGCTCAGATCGACGATGGCTCTTTGGTTTATCCCTGGCGCTGGTCAGGCGGCTTTCCTCCTACAGGCGTCCCTAGCCCTGTTCGACGCCATGGATGTGATCGAAGGATTAAAAGATATGAAGAAAACCTGTGGCGACCGGGTGGCAAGGCCCAAAAGTGGCCCGGGCAAGTTTGCAAGTTACTTTTGCACGATGCAATCAGGGCCGGGCAAGGGCCCCCAATTTTGAGTAGTCTTCATAAGAAAGGCGCATTTTCCTCACTTTCCGCTTCAGCGCGCAGCACAAACAATGGCAGCTGCAGGGCTTTAGTGGTGGAGGAAGCGTGTCTTGCACCCATGTTTCACCCATCATTCGCTTAAAAAAGGTGCCATATTGCACGGCTGAAAGTGCCGAGATGGCTGACTTGCACGGCTGCTACAGGCAGCATGCCAAAGGCGAGAGCAAAAAAAACAGAATAGGTCCCATATTCAATGGAGTTTAAACCGGTGGATTGGTGCAATTCTGTGCTGGTGATGTTTGGGAACCTTTCAGTCCAAGGTTCATTGCAAGGACCGGTGATTGGGGGAAGTGCCTATGATTGTCGCTATCGTCTATATATACCCAAGTCTCCTGTCCGGACATTATCCATTGCTCAAAAAGGTAGCGCTGCTCGCAAGATCTTCAATCCTGTCCTGTCCCATCTCTTTGCCCTCTCTCTTCCCCAGGAAAGGCGCATCGCTGACACTTCGGACCCGAGAAGGTTTAACTCCAGCAGAGGTGGCTGCGAGCAGTTTGTTTGAATATCTCCTCTATGCCTCTCTGCAGGTGCGCGAGCCTGGATGAGTGGTGGGAACCCGGCGGAATAGCCCTACACCTGGGTGACCCTGGTGAACCGCAGAACAGGAACCTAGATAGAGACTTCACAAGGCCCAAAGTTGGGATTAGGACCAGCGAGAGAGAGAGAGAGAGAGAGAAAGAGAAGAGAAGAGAAGAGAAGAGAAGAGAAGAGACGAGACGAGACGAGACGAGACGAGACGAGACGAGAGGAGACGAGACGAGACGAGACGAGACGAGACGAGACGAGAGGAGA